AAAGCAAAAGCACATTGACAGTAGTTCTATCCAATCACTATAAGCACAGGTACCTTTGGTTAAACACTGCTTGCTTATTTCGAATACAACACCTGCTTGTGAGCCTTAAACACAATGCACAGAGCTCCATTATTAAGCTTAAAATTCCCTAATATCTCACTAGATAAACTTTGCTGTAGCTTAGGGAGTTATTCCAGACAAACATTAATACACAGACCATTGTTCTATTTGTCCTTGCTTCTCTACTTCTTATATAATTTTTCTGATGACCAATCTCATGGCTACTGCTTAGCTCTAATCACAGTTCTGCTGTCTCTGGGGCCTGCCTTTGCATCTTTCCCAAAACCTTCTGATTTTATGGATTCCCACACCCTGCCCTCCCCCTGCGGTGACACCTCCTGGGCACCACAAGGACACTGAACAAGGAGAAATGACCTCAAGCAGCACCAGGGGATGTTCAGGTGGGGTATCAGGAAAAGATTCTTCACTGAAGAGGGATGAAACATTGGCACCACTGCCCAGGGCAGGGCTGGCATCACCATCCCTGGAAATGTTCAAAAACTGTGGCAGTTTGTGATGTTTCACTGGCCATGGAGATGTTGGTTGAAGCTTGGGTTGATGATCTTGGAGGTCTTTTCCAACCTCTGTGATTGCACGATTGTCAGGTCACAATTCTGATAATACCTGCTGATGTCCGTGGGAATTCTCCTGTTCTGGAATTGTGCTTGAATCGTGCACCAAACCCATGAACAATATCAAGGGATCACAGCCTGGGAAAAGTGGTCAAAAAGAATGTTTAGATAGAAATAAAGAAACCCTGCTTCAAAAATTTGAGAAATCTTTGAAGGAGTTATTAGGTGATAAATAGGAGTTAATAAAGTTCAATAACAAAGGAGATCATAAGTAAAAAATCCAGATGATGAATTTGTCATTCAAAAATTCCTTCATAAAGTCCCTTTACTAACAGACCTGAAGGAAAATGACCTGCCCTGAGTGAGGGGAGAGGCCCCTTGTGGCCTCTTTGTGACCAAGAGAGTCAATGATCTTCCTTGAGCAAGGAAAAATTCCAATAGAGCTTCCCAAAAAATCTGGCCTGACCTTGTGCCTTTTTACTTTCTCACAGGAAGTTTTTGCTGGTTGTGTGAGGTATGGCTCTCAAACACCGAATTTTCTGTGTTTCAGCAGCCTCCAGGACAGACAAACCTGATGGTGCTTGTGAAAAGCTGAGGGAAGAGCTCCCAGTTCTGAAGGATGAGGTGATAAAAAGTGATAAAACACCAGGACAAGTTCATGGTCAATAAAGGTTGTCATAAATGCAGGTGCAAACAGCTCTGAGTGCACACAAAGAGCCACAGGGTGAGAAAGCAAGAGCTCTGAGCGGGGACAGGGCCATGGAAATGCCTGCTCAGCACTCCCAGTGCCAGAGATTCTCGGCTTTGTTGGGAAATCCTCCAACTCCAGGGCAGGGGGAAATGGAGGTGCTGAGCCCCCACTGCCTCAGAGAAGGGGCTGCAGGGTGGGAGAAGCTCAGGTGAGGCTCAGGTGCCTCGGCACAAGCGCTGAGCATGAGCTAATGTCACAGACATCTTTTATGGAAAATCCTTTCCTTAGGATTTTTCCTTCTGAGAAGCCGGGAGGCCTCAGGAACAAAATGTAAACAATGGTTATCTGCTGCTGTGGAATGCAACAGGTGCATCTGGGATTGGCCCATCTTGGATGTTTGTGATTAATAACCAATCACAGTCAGCTGGCTCAGACAGAGAGTCTGAGACACAAGCCTTTGTTATCATTCCTTCTTTTTCTATTCTTAGCCAGCCTTCTGATGAAATCCTTTCTTCTATTCTGTTAGTATAGTTTTAATGTAATATATATCACAAAATAATAAATGAAGCCTTCTGGAACATGGAGTCAGATCTACGTCTCTTCCCTCTTCCTAGGACCCCTGTGAACACTGTCATGAGCTAAGAACATCATTGCCTCTTTTTGGGTTGGCTTTGGGTTGGTTTTGGGTTGAAAAGGCATTTGGACAAGTTTCTTCTGGAGGTTTTTTGGAAATTAGCTGGGGAGATGGACGTGAAACTTTTGTTCCAGAGGTTTTTAGCCTGTGGTTGCCTGGATCAAAGCAGACCAGGCACAATCAGAACATCATGAACGTTTCTGTAAATGACCTTTTATGTCCCTCCCAAGCCAAATCATTCCATGATTTCTGGACATGGAATCCCAGCATCATTAAGGGTGGAAAAGCCCTCGAAGATCATCGTGGTGGTCACCACTAAACATGTCCCCAGGTGCCTGTCATGATCCATCCTTATAAACGGGGTTTGTGATAGTTCAATAATGGATCTCAGAGTGCAAAACACCAACACAGCACAGGGGATTTGCAGTAATAATCAAAAACAGATGCACCTTTATTGAATAACCTCAGGAAAATGTGTTAGGGGAGATTGGGGAAAAAGGAAAGAATAAGGGAAAAGAGGGAGGAAGAGAAAGGAAAGTATACAGCTACCAAATGCAGAGTGACAAAGTCCTTCAAAATCTTCAGTCAGAATTCGCCTGGTTAGGTCAGGGGAGATCTCAGAGATCCTGGTTGATTTGAACTCCTATTATAGTCTTTTGTGATGGGGGAAGGGGATGAATCTTGAAATCTAATCAAAAGTAGTAAAGAATAGTCTGTTGTAATTTCTGGGGGGAAAAAAGGTATTGAAGAAGGGTGCACACAGTCCATGTTCTCAGCAGTGGGTGAGAACCATTGTCTTCTTGGTCCAGTGGTCACACCTGCAGGCAAACAGCTCACTGTGGTCAGCTCCTACACACCTCCCCTGGGTTGGGGGTTTCAGTCCCAGTCCTTGGGAGGAGGGGGTGCTTTTCCCATAGAGGGGTTTCATGTCTCAGTCCTTGAGGGAGAGGCTGCTCCCATCTCAGTCCGTCCATCACCGTGGTTGTAAAGCAGGTGAGGGTCTTTTGTGGGGACCACCACAGGTTACCCCAGAAAAGTCCAACCAGGCTGAGAGGTGGGGAAATTCCAGGGCCATTGTTGTGAAAGCAAATGCAGGTGAAGAAGGGCAAGGTGTCCCCCTTCTCCTTTTCATTAGGTTCAGTCTTCCATGGAAACAAACACACCTGAAAACAACAGCTTGGCAAGCCAAGGGCTTTGCTCAGGCCTCAGGATCTTGGCGAGCAACCATCTCCAGCAAGACCAGGATTCCAGCCAGGGTCTTCTTCAGTGGTCCCAGTTTCTGTTCTTTTCATGATGATCATGAGGCAGATGAGAGAAACTTCGGACAGAAATTCACAGTGCCACATCCACAGAGCATTTCCAGGAATGGTGAATCCCCCACTTCCCATTCCAATGCTTGCCAGCCCTTTCAGTGAGGAAGTTCTCCCTCGTATCCAACCTGTTCCTGTGGAAGTTCTTCTGGAAGTAAATCATTTTAGGGCAAAGCCAGACATAAAAGGAGTAATCCAAACACCAATTCCTTTTTATGAAGGAAAGTAAGTGGAAGCTGGATAAACAATTCATATTGTTCCTCATTAGTTCACACTAATCAGTAGAGTGTCTCAAATAAGCATTTAATTAAGAATTAATGTGGCGGCTGTTATAAAATGAAATATTAATTGGAAAAGGGAAGTTTCAGATTTGTTTAGGTGCAGGGAATCTGCCCACCTCAAGCTTGACTTGATTACACAAGTGCTTTCCAATTTGTGAATTGTTTAATGTATACAAGTCACAAGGACCTGACATTTAACAAGGGAACACTGGCAAATTAATTCCATTCAGAGCTAAAAATGCAGCTTGACATTTGGTGGCTGGGCTGGTAACCAGGGCCTCCTCAGCACAATTCCTGTTTCCCTGGGTGCTAATGGGCTGCCCTGGGATCACACGGCCAAAGGATGAAGGAACAATTGGGATTTCATGGATCAGGGAGTGACGGCAGCTGGGATCTGACACAGGGGACACCTGAACTTGGGGGGCAGAGGGGATTCTGTCCCTCTGCCCCACTCAGGTGAGACCCCACCTGCAGAGCTGCCCCAGCCCTGGGCCCAGCACAGGAGGGACCTGGAGCTGCTGGGGAGAGCCCAGAGGAGGCACCAGAGATGCTGCAAGGGCTGGAGCCAGGCTGGGAGAGCTGGGGGTGCTCACCTGGAGAGGAGAAGGCTCCAGGGAGAGCTCAGAGCCCCTGGCAGGGCCTGAAGGGGCTCCAGGAGAGCTGGAGAGGGACTGGGGACAAGGGATGGAGGGACAGGACACAGGGGATGGCTCCCAGTGCCAGAGGGCAGGGATGGATGGGATATTGGGAATTGGGAATTGTTCCCTGGCAGGGTGGGCAGGCCCTGGCACAGGGTGCCCAGAGCAGCTGGGGCTGCCCCTGGATCCCTGGCAGTGCCCAAGGCCAGGCTGGACATTGGGGCTGGAACACCCTGGAACAGTGGGAGGTGTCCCTGCCATGGCTGGGGTGGAATTGGATGAACTTTAAGGTCCCTTTCCCCCCAGAGTACCCTGGGAGTCCATGAATTCTGCTGTCAGTGGAAGCTCTTACACCTCTGACTCCTCCCAGTCATGATCCAAGCACTCCCAGGCATTTCAGAACAAGGAGAAGGATGGGATTTGCAAGAAGGAGCAGAGCAGATCCATCAGCACCTGGATTCAGGCACCTGTAGCTCCACACCTGCTAGAGCTGAGCTGGGCTCTGAGCTGAACACAATTATCCACAGGCTGGAAGTGTCAGGGACTGAAACTTTTCTACATTGCTGCCGCCTGAATTTGCCAAATCCTTTCAGCAGAGAAGGCAGTAAAAGGGAGTTTTTTGAACATGTCAAAATACCTCATTTTCACATTCTCTAGAAGGAAATATTTTGCTTTGGAAATGAGAAAATGCTCTGTGTCAATATTCCCCATGTGACAGCGTTCAGACTCCTTTCTCTCTAAATGACAGGGTTTTGTTGTTTCAAATTGACAGAGATTTTCCCTGTTAGTGGACCTTTTATTTTAAAGAACCTGAATAAAAAAGGCAAAATACTCTCTCATCATTTGAATGAAAGAACTTGAGTGAGCTCAGAAAATTCCAGTACTTTTCCTTCACTGAGTTCTCTTGGTTTGCATTATCAGGAGCAGTTTCCTCGCTCTGCCACTGCTCTCCATTTGCACTTCCCAATGTCATATCAGCATCAGAAGGAAGGGCAATAATCTGGGAAGGTGATTCCTTAGGACCATTTGTAATGTGTTTTTTGGGACAGAGACATGGGGGCATAGGACCCCCCTGGCTCTGTGCAGGAGCTGCTTTGCTGTGTGTGTGGTGAGGAGTCTGCAGGCAGTGGGAGAGGATGTAAATCACTGGGGAAATAGAGCTGTAAACCCCTGTGACAGCCTTTCAGCTGTAAACCCCTCTGACAGCCTTTCAGCCCTTCTCTCCTCTCAGGTGAGGCCTCTCCTGAGCAGCTCCATCTCCCCAGGCTCTGTCCTGACCTTCCAGATGTCACTGTCTCTGCTCTGGCCTTGTTTATCTCTGGCTTTCTAGGTTTTACACAGGTAATTGTCCAAGCTGTCAGTTCCCAGGGTGAGTGCTTGGGCATTGTTCTGCTCCAAGATCAGCATTTTCCCTTTGGCTCCTCAGCTGTCTCAGCCCCTCTGCTGCTCAATCCAGCAGGAGCAGAGCTGGGGCTGGAGCCAGCAAGGACTAAAACCCTCCCTGACAACCTGTGGCATGAATCACCTGACTGCAGGTGGGCAGAGCTCTGGCTTCAGCTCCACACGCCCTCCCC